TCTGCGATTTTATTATTTTATCGCTACTTTTGATTCTGCTCCAAACAGGCATGTTCGACAACGACGCCAGTGGCACCATCGATGTTTATGAGTTCGAGAAGCTCTACAACTACATTAACCAGTGGCTGCAGGTCTTCAAGACCTACGATCAGGACGCCTCCGGTCACATCGAGGAGCATGAGCTGACCCAGGGTAAGTTTTAGCTCTTAGTCACTATCTAGACTCCTTTAGCGGTAACTGGTTAAACCGTTTGAAAATTTAAGTTCATACATTAGATTTCTATTTCTCTATTAAGCTTGATTCATCCGGAAACAGTTTCTTTTTTCCCCTGCAGGGCATTATAATTTTTGTCTGAATTTTGTAGTGAAGGAGTCATTTCTTTCTTCATTCTTAATGAGCAACAACTGCCGGGTCGATCTTTTTATATCCGCTAACAAATACACATTTTGCAGAATTTTATAAATCATAATGTTGCAATTACAAAGTTTAATTTATTTTTAATTTGAAATTCAGTATGCTGGTTTGATGTCCTAATAAAAACCAACACTGAAAAGGTTTCGAAATTGAAATTAATAGATTTGAAAGGGTATACAAACTTCGGCGTGCCGAAGTTAGCTTCTTTTCTTGTTTTAAATTGCTGCCGATTTTTTTTATTAACTTTAAAAAGTCACTTAAAAAATCTTTGCTGTACATATGTGCATTTCCACAGAAAGGTCCGACACGGCCAAAAAACTTAAAGTTATATTTTTTAGTTATATATGCAGTTGCACTAAGAAGTGTTCCAATTGATCAAGTTTAACAGAATCTAGCATATTCTAAAACAGACTTCGAAATATTCGAATGAAATATACATAGTCCAACTGGATTTTTTATTATTTTAATGAAAGGGCATAAAAGGGCACGTTTTGTTTTGCTAATAACTTCTAAACTAGAGGCATTATGATTTGAGTTTTGCTTACTAACATCACTTAAAGAATGCAAAGACTCGAAAATAAAAGTGCAATTCATTTCCGGCTTCAGAATCTGCATAAATTTTCAATTTAATTTTTCAACATCAAAAATCCTTAGATTGTATTCCCTCGAAATGTAAGCTAAGAGTTTTTATGATAAGAAAGACTTTTTTTAAGTTTTATAAATAGTTCTTCAAGAAGTATATAAGGTTAAACTTAAAAATATTTACAATAAACGTTTCTTGGTCAAATGTTGGATAAAATAATTGCATTACGACTTTATTGACTTGTATACTACCTATAAAAAATAAAATATCGGCAGCTTTTTTACTGCTTTGCAGACTTTAGGTCTTTAGATACGCATATCTAGTTCATATAGTGAAAATCATGACTCACGGTTATAAACTAAAATGTATAAACAATTCATGAATCACAATGCTAAAAAATTGTGAAAAGTGCCCTCAAATTGAGAAAGTTGTTTATGTCTATTCCGTAAATGTTTTTAATTAAGTAAAATATCTAAACTATATTTATAATAAAATTTTAATATATATATCAAATTTTGAAATAAGATTACATTTTTTTTATAATTTTTGGGGGAAAAAAAATATTGAAAAATGTATAAGTAAGCCAAAAATGCATTAAATTCAATTCGGAATGTTGTTCTGAGTTCGTTTTTAAAAGGTTAATGAAACGAACCGAATTTAATTTAAATATTTACCTATAATTTTATAACAATTTTCAATATAAACAAAACTTACGAAATCTATAACTACTCCAAATAAATTCAATTCGAAAGCGATTTTGTCTTATTTTTTATACAGTTACGTTTATTTTTAATTTAATTCTTTGCCAATATTTTGAAAATTTAAACGAATTATCCCCTTACCAACTAATCTCTAAATATATTTTCACAGCCTTCACGCAAATGGGTTTCCGTTTCACGCCCGAGTTTATCAACTTTCTGGTGAAGAAGAGCGATCCGCAGACCCACAAGGAGGTGTCGGTGGACCAGTTCATAGTGCTCTGCGTGCAGGTGCAGCGATTTACTGAGGCCTTCAGGCAGCGCGATACGCAGCAGAATGGCACCATCACCATTGGCTTCGAGGACTTTCTGACCGTAGCCATTGGCTGCTCCTACTGAAGAACTACTACTACTATATTCGGGCAGTTACTACAAGATGCAAAACAGACAACAGCCGTCGGGGGAACAGAGGAACCAATTTTTGCGATCGCTGCATTTTCTTACAAAATTCTTTTTCGGTGTTTGTTAGCTTTGTAATGTTATGTAATCATCACTCCGCACAGTCACATTGCAATCTCCTGTCCTATCAGAATCAAATTTCAAAAGTATTTGTTAACGCAGTTCGACTCACACTCATAGTACAAAGTCTCTTGCGCCTAAAATAGTAAAAATAAAGTATACACGTGTATTTATAAAAGTTACAGATACAGTGATGTGTTTTGTTTTATTTAAAATCTATGAAAACATTGTAAGATGTATGAAAAGTTCATTATAAAAGCATGTCTTAGGTCTAGCAGCAGTCACACTGCCCTACAGTTCGTAATCGTGTCTTGGGTTTGCAGTTGGGAATTACAATCAAAACCGATCCAGGTCTTGGTCGACTCGAGATGGCGGCACAAAGGCTTACAATTAAAATACAAAACATTGAAAACATTTGAGCATAAAATAAGTGTTTGGTTTTTGGTTTGGGAATCGTATTTGTGGTCTTCCAAATTCTCTTTTTGGTTTGTAGATACATAATTTTTAAGATACAAAAACTCAGTCTTAAAAGTCCATAATCATATGAAGCGAATGTCTTTAGGACGAGGGCTTGGATGTTCCAAATCATAATAATATCCAAAGAATCTCTTTATCAGTCGTAGAGTTCCAGTACAAATGGCATTGTTGGCCAAGTTAAGAGATCGCGTTGGGTTAAATGCAAAAGTTTTTGGGCAAGATGCCATAGAATGTGCGCATTGCAGGCCCTAAGTGAATACTTTTAATTCTGGACAGCAGCATGGTGCGTTTAATCTCTTCTCAATCGATAATATGGCTTAAAAAATAATATTCGAGTGCGGCACATAAGCTCTTAAGTATATTAATTCGTGTAAATAATGGTTTAGTCAATCGTCAATCATAAAATATCATAATAATCAGGGTAGTAGGGAGCGTTTTTCGTTTGAAATATGGGATGTGATCTCTTAGGACTAATTTGATTATTTGCTTTGATTAGATTGGTTTACAATTGCTTAGATGCTACATAAGTTACTACAAAGTAAACATTAAATATTTGGGATGACACATGATGAATGACAAGAAATAATATGCTAGCAAGTTGATATAAATCAAATGACACACAAATCGACACACACTCTCTCCTCCCTTACAAAATCTATAATTAATTGGAAGCTTTACGCGGTCCCCACACATATTATTTGGTATCGAGTTTGGGTGTCTTGCGGCCGCCCTCACTTATTAAAGTCGATGATCAGCTTGCCCTGGGAGTCGTCCGACAGGGAGCCGCCATTCAGCCCGTTTTCGCACTTTACTCCATTTTCGCACTTCATGGAGTACTTGGAGCGCCGCTTGCTGGGCAGCTGGGGCAGATCGGTGTGGTGCTTGCGGACATGGACGCCGAGGTTGCCGCGCTGCTTGGACTTGTAGGGGCAGTAGGGACACTGATGGGACGGCTCCTTGCCACCGCACTCGACGTTCTCGTGGCGGCGCAACGTGGACTTCCAACGATACTTCTTGCCGCAGTGGCGGCACTCGTACACCGGTTCTCCGTCGAGGCCGAGGCCATTGGGGCTGGTGGTGCTGCCATTGCTGCTGCTGCCGCCGTAGTCGCTCAGCGTGAACTCCAGATTGCGGAAGGCCTGGGTCTGGGCGTCCAGTATGGAGCTCGAGGAGCCTCCATGGGTGTTGGCATTGAAGATGCTTATCGTGTGGTTGCCAAACTTGTGGCTGCCCCCACTCTGCTCCATCAGGTGGATGTCATCAAAGGCGTGATAGCGCCCATCGTCTTCGTCCTCCGTGGAGGAACCCGGCTCGTTCTCGCACTCCGAATGGCGGAAGTCACGCTCTTGCTGCTTCCGCAAGAGGTTTTCCAGTATTTTGGTGGGAGTGATTTCGCCCTCCTCCTTGATGTGACGATGGGGAGTCTGCAGGCGGAGGATCTCCTGGGCGCGCAGTTGCTGCTGGAAGCTGTGCAGGCCATTCCGCATCAGGGCCTCCGCAATGACGGCTGCCTGAGGCTTTGCGTTGGGAACGACTGGTGGAGTCGCCACCGAGCTATTGGCCACCAGCACCGAGGTGGGTATGGCCGTCACCACGGGCGTGGTCGCCGCTGTCTTCAGGGAGTAGTTAAGCCGTGGATGAAATGAGGCGGCAGCGCCAGCGGCGGCGCCCACCATATTGGTGGTGTTCTGTGCGCGCATCACTTCATCAGCATTCAAGTTTTTTGAGGCCGTCTCGGAGGCCGAACCGTACACGGCTATGGCGGCAATGGCCGAGGGCTCCAGTATCTCGCCGGAGGTGGGCGACACCTGGCGAACCGGCGGCTGGTGTTGCTCCTGCTTGGGCACCTTGGCGGACTTGGTCTTGTAGAACTCGAAGAGCATGTCGGACACCTCGGATACGGACAGGCGCTTGCGGCGTGATCCTGCCGCCTGGAGGCGCTGTTCGTCCCGCATCTTGCCATTGAGAATGCTGCGCTGGATGGTGCGCTGAATCTCGGCGGCGGCCACCACATCCGGAGCTGTGTTCTCCTTCCTGCTCAAGTCTGTAAACGGAAGCATAGATATGGATTAGTTTTTTGTCGTTTTCTTCACAGTTTTGGTCTTTTGATGAGCTGCTGCAGTGACACAAATGAAAAAGCAAGTTAAGACTCTCGGCTAGCTGGGATTAGGCAGAAAAAAAAGCATCAAATGTTGAATGAAGAAGCATGCATCAAACTAAAGGTAATACTACGACTACAAATGAATAATTAAGTCAAACACAAGTCAGTTTTTTGTTTTCTTATGTTTCTTAGAATTAAACAAACAAAGTTACACGTAGTTATCAGTTTTATTAATTTTGGTAATCACATAATTTTGTTGGCATTAATAAAATAAACTTTTAGAGCAGCGGCAAATGAAAACATTGCATGTTTTTTGTGTTTGGTGAATTTTGTTGTTGCCGATGATGATGATAATGATGGTGTGTTGGTGGTTTTATATGTGGTGATGAGTGAGTTTTTTTGATGAACCGAAACCATTTTAAAATGCAACTCATTACCTGACGAAGCATCTGGAAGAACAGAGAAGAATAGGTTAGCAAGGTGTTGGGATTATTTTAAAGTGCAACACTATTTAATCACTGAAGGTTCCTGGGCAACCTGCAAAATAAACAAGAATTTAAATTAATATTTCTCACTATTTGGTTTAATTTTGTTGGAGTGCAATGTTGTTTGGCTTGATCGCTTTTGCCTAAGCTGTGGGCGGAGAGCTTTTCGCTTTGAAATTTAAATATTTCACTCTTTTCCAAGCTTTATTTCAGCTTTATTAGCACTCCGCCCACGCGAAAGGAAAAGCGTCCGCTCGGCAACACAATCGAAAATGCACTGTCGGCGCTGGCTCTAGCTTACAAATTTTCTATTTTCCCTGAAGCACGAAGCCGAGAGTCCTAAATCCCGAAACGCAGGCGCAGCTGCGTCGCCCGATTTCCCGCATGACTGTATGGGTGAGTATCTGTGTGCTGTGTGTATCTGTTGCACAGCAAGTGCAGTTTTGCCTGCTTTTCGGTTAGGATCCGCTCCGATCCTTGATTTATTTTTGGGTTTTTCTACCTAACTCAACAGTTGTTGTTATTGTTGTCGTTGTTGCTGTCTCTCTTTCTGTTTGTGGAAAACTGCAACTAGGGAAAACTTTCTCCGAGAGGCAGCAACTCTACTCTCACTTGCGAGAGAGTGTGTCTGTGTAGAGAGAACATCTAGAATGATTCTTCAAAGCATTTTGAACAGAAATACTTTTCAGCCAGCAGCTTCCGGTGGTGTGTTCCTTGTTTATTTTTCTTCCAATTTCTACTTCTGATGCATCTGTTCCAAATACATGTTGCTGGATTTTGAAGGTCAGCAGTGGAAAAGTTAAGGGAGGCTTAAGCAGCTATAAATGGATTTAATTAGATTTCCGAGGAATTTCGGCAGAGAGCTGTTTATTACCTAAAAGTATTTCTTATTTTACTATAAATTCTTTGATTCAAGTTTAAGTTTCCAAATGTCATAAACAATTAAACGTAAATTTTATGTTAAATTAGTATGATTTGAGTCACTTATTTAAGGACCTAGGACTACTATAAAATAGTTTTAGCAAAGTTTCCAAAATCATAAATATGTTAATTTAGTATAAAAGTTTAGCTTTAGTTTATTATTGTTTAGAAAGATCTTTGATTCCCAAAAAAACCTACATAAGACAGCAAATCACATCTAAGTATATATATATATATATATATATATATATCTAACCTTTACTTGCTTTACTACTTTCATCAAATAGTTATCTAGGAAATCGATTGCAAGGGAATCTAAGAAATATCTAAGCTTTACTTAAAATTTTCGACTTCTAAATCTAATAATTAATTAAGTAAATGATCTAAAACTTTTAAACAGAGCTTAAAAAGTTATGAAGGGACTCGATTGCAAAGGAAACATCTCAATTCAGCCATCTCCCACTCTCTCTTTTCGAACTTTTTTGTAAACTTTGAAATCAGATTTGGCTCTATTTAATAATAAAAGAATAACTTTACCAAAAATTAAAAATAAATACAAGTTTAAGCTCCCAAAATGTTGAATATATGACGTTGCCATACATATGTATTATTGAACTAAAAACCTAGGGTCACTAAATCCATAAATAATTTTCTGGAAATTTCTGGAATTCCCTAGACGACTGTGCCAACTTAGGTATGTTCCAGAGGCGTCAGCTTCGAATGCGTTTCCTTTCTGGAAATATCTGTAAACACAGCCCAGACGCACATTTACTGTATATTTCATCAAGGTCCTCTGCCGATGATTTTCCAGGAATATACCCACACAAATAGCTTCGAAACCAGCCCTTGAAACTTGTGTGTATCCTGGCTTCCCGAAGGTAAAGCCCAAAAGGAGACACCGATAGGGATAATAGGGCAGGCTAAATAGTGAATTCGAGAAAATCGAGGAAAATCACGTGGGAAGCCCGCCCGACTGCAAAAGCCGCTCGGATACTCGGATACAGATACACACAGCACAGGCTTAGAGATACAAAGCAGGCAGGCAGGCAGGCAGGCGGCAGGCAGACGGACGCGAGTCGAACTTATTTTTAGAAAAACTCAAAATACACCATCAGATATCCTGATTTATGTGTGCGCAAATGTTTTTCAAATGCATTCTTGTGTGTGTGGGCGAGAGAGACAGAGAGGTACTCCGAGGTATCTGAGGGATACAAGTCCCTCTCTCTCTCTTTGTAACTCTCGGTAGGGTACAGTTAGTTTGTGGTTTCCTTTTTGCACTGCCATGCTAAATTCAAGGACAGCCAGTGCTATTGTTGTCCAAAAACCTGTTTGGTTAAAGGATTAGCTGCAATCCTGTATCTCTGCCTGGAAATCTGAATCCAACTGCAATTCTTAGAGGGGGAAAACGATGAAAGGATCTTGTGTACTTGCCTGGTTATAAGCATCCTTTTTTGTCTGAAACACATTTGCCAATTAACAGATTAACTGAAAATATAAAAAGGAAACGAAAACGAAAACCTGTTTAATAAAATAAAAATGTTTTCAACACAACAAAAGATACTGACCTTAAGAATTGTAAATAGTTTACCGAAGAAAACTTTAAATAAATAAGAAACTGAAATAAAATAATAAGAAATACTTTAGTAAATGATGGAGAAGTTTTAAAATAACTAAAGATACCAACCTTGGCACAAATAAAAATATAATAAAAATAAAAAAGTAAAGCCTAAATTATATCAAATGACAATTTCTTGTACAAATCATCACAAAGTACCATTATTTAATATTTATTTATTATTGTTTATTAGCAATAAGTATAAAAAGTCTTAACTTGGACCTTGTTTAATTAATTGGACATATTAAATCCGGATAACCTCTTCTGTTTAATAATCTAATTATACTCAAAGACCAATAAATGCTTGGCAAAGCAAACAATTCTTAACCATTAGGCGAGTTCTATATATCTTGGCCGTTATACCAACTTAACTGTAGGTTAATTAGTATATTATAGAAACAAATATTCTATGTTTTTTGGTCTTCATTTCGAAATTTGGTGGAAATTACTGATATCGATATTTCAGCTGTGTTTCTGTTTGAATTTTGTTTGCATTACACTGAATATTTGATAGGAAATACTTGTTTTTTTGCGAATATCTGTGATATATTCATAAATTTGTCATGATAGATGAAACTCAGACCATTTCTATCTCGAAGCAACTGTGTGCATGGCTTTGGAATCCAGGACGAAGACTTAACTAGATGAGCACCGAGTGCTCCTTGCGCATGTGCTCGTTGAGGGAGGCCTGAGAGCGGTAGGCGCGGGAGCAGAGCGGACATCGGTTGGACTCGTAGGAGGGAGAGCGCTTGCCAAGCGCTTGGCGCTTATGCTTTCTGCCCGGAACCAGGCTGCTGGTGTCTATGTTGCCCATATTCTGCACGAGATGCTGCAGCGATCGCGCCGTCGATATGGAGGCCAGCTGCTGTAGGGCTATCATGGCGTCCGAGCTGGCCATGGCCTTCTTGAGGCTGATGTCGCTTGAGGTATCCAGCGGCTCCTCGTTCTCGCTTTTCTGGTCCACGGCGGTAGGCGCTTCAGTTGGGGCATTTCCGGACTTGCGATCCTGTCTGACCTTCTGCTTAGAACCGCTGGGATAGTCCTGGTTAGGTTCTTGGGTCAGAACGTTGTACTTTGCTTCCAAAGCGCTGGGACCTGCAACGAGAGAACAGGCCAACGGAAATCAAAATAATAATACAAATCATAAAAAATGAACAACAAAAAAAAAAGAATACAAATATATAACTGCCACAGTGCACATTCATACAGTCGCATTCATACATATTTACAAATTTAAAATCAATGAAGAAAATGAATAAAAATAAATGGTAATGTTTTGAGTAAAAAGGTAAGACTTGGATTTCGACAGGACAAGACTTTCTCTTGTTATCCTCTTTTCTCTTTATTTACAAAAATTCAGTATTTATTCGGCTCTTTTTGGCATCAACGAGAACTGGTCTAGTAGTTGGTATAATAATAATAATATTCGGGTAACAGAAACTTAAATGAACTCCTCCTCCTCGGTCTCCACTTTGATCTCAGACGTGTACAAAATGTCCGGATCGAGATCTATGGCTGCTGCTTCGGTGTCCAGGCCATCATCGTCTTCATCGTTGGTCTTGGCATTGGCATTGGCACTGCCCTTGGCCTTGGCCCTGGGCCTTTGCTTGCTGTGTTGCACCGGCTCCAGAAAGAGCTCCGCGTCGTGGAGCTTTTTGTGGCGATTGAGATGGGATCGCCGCTTGAACCACTTGAGGCAGAAGTCGCACTGAAAGCGCTTAAAGTCCTGGCACTCCTCCCGCTGGTGCAGCATCAGCCGGCTCAGGGTGTTGTAGTATCGTCCGCACTGGCACAGCAGTTGGTTCTTGGGGCCGTGGCGCACGAAATCTGCTGGACAGGCGGGGAGAGAAGAAACAGAAACGGAATGCGGTTGGATTTAGGCTAGCTTCCAAAACACAGACACAGTCACAGACACGGGCTCTACGGCTCTAGTAACACACGGATTGCAGGGAGAGGGGGCTAGGGTTTTGGGGTGATCTCGTGGGTGGCGATGAATACAACAAATTCGTTTCAGTTTGACATTTTTATTGGCTGATATATGATTGATTGGACTACTTATTGCTAAGCAAGAGAGAGAGAGTCAAGTGAATTGTATAGACCTTTCTTGGCTGACCCAGTCCTTCGGCTTCGGCTTCTCCAGGCCTGGTTCCACTCCGTTCCACGGGTCCGTCGTCCTAGAGAAAAGAGAATCATGTTAGTGACTTGGTTTTCATCGGGGCTTTCGCAACGGACTCAATAATTACTGGCCTTGGTTTCGATTGAAAACATTTATTTATTTTTCTGTATTCATTTTTAGGGGTTAAAACGTTCTCTAGGGCTTGTATAATGTTCGGAGTTTAAAATACTTAGACTTACGCACTTGACTTGAGCTGATTTGAAATTGGTTTTGAGTCTACGGTTTGAGCAATTCAACTAGAACTTCATATGACGGCTTGGGCTTAGTAAATCTATGATTATTCACTTGAGATCATAACTTTGGCTATATTACAAACAGTATATTGAAATCTCCAGAGCTTCAGAAACAGTTGAGGGGGATAGGAAAGCGGATATATACAGGGGAAATATATAGTAATACAGATCAGACTGGATAAAGGTGACGGGTTTAGGTCGAGAGAGCTCTTAAATCTCCAGAGATTTACGAGTATAAACTATGGTATGGAACATACATCACAACAACAACTGCTAAGAGAGACTACTATCTTAAAGTTAATGTCCCAGGATCAGGGGCTCCCCGGAATCGGCATGCTTCTGGTTCATATGCTTGCGCAAATCCGACTTGTACTTGCACTTGTGCGGACAATGGGGACACTTGAGGTTCGGCTCCACGCCGCACTCGTAGTTCTTGTGCCGCTTCAACGATCCCTTGATCTTGTACGTCTTGCCGCACACATTGCACGCGTACTTGCAATCGTCCAGCGCGTAATCACTGGTGGTCACCTGCTGCTGATGCAGTGTCATTGTGGTGTGCGCCGCGTTGTTGTTGTTGCTGCTGCTGTGCATCGTCGTGGCACTCGACATTCCATTAATATACAGCTTTTCCGGCTGCTCCTCGTCGATGGGTATTTTTTCCACCACATAGCTCTCGTCGTCGAGCAGATGATGATGGTCTTCGTCATCTACGTCGCCATGCGAATGATCATGGCCTTTCATCGCCTCCAGTTCCAGTTCCCGCTCGGCCTCATCAGCATCGGCCAGTAGTAGGCCGGACTCGTGGCTGGACACCACACACGTAGTGGTGCTGTGGGCACTCTGCGGCGCCATGGCAATGCTGGTGGAACCATACTGCATTACGTCGCGCAGCAGCATCTTATCCTCCAGACGGGAGGTGTCTATCTTGATGTACTCCTGCCGCGGTGGATGCTGGATGGTCAAGTGCTGGCGATGCGGCTGCTGCTGATGCTGCTGTTGCTGCTGCTTCACAATCTGAATGGTGGTGGCCTGTGGCTTGTGCAGCAGGCTGGTGGTGTTCGTATTAGTCGTGGCATTCTTGGTGAGCGCTGGTATGGTGTATTGGATGTTGCCCACCGGATTGCCCAGATCGTCGGGCGGCAGCTCCACCACCACAGTGGCGCCCGTCAACAGGCCCGACGATCCATTACTGCCATGGCCACCGTTGCTCAGCGTGGTGGCTGTGGTGGGCACTGCATTGGCGATCGAGTAGGGCACCGTCTCCAGGATTGTCCAGTAGCCATCTGCAAGAAGGCGGGGAAAAGAGAAGACAGAGACTCTGGTCAGTCATCCGCTGGGATGAGTAACTCGTATATGTATATGAAATAATTACTTGTAAGCATTATAAACAAGTGTCTGTAAGCTGCGGGGCCGTCTTGGGGATGTGTGGGGATTTAGAAACTTGGATTTTTGTTTTGCTTTCACGCATATATTTGTATATATATATATGATTCGTATGCTTTATTCTTAATCGCTTCTTGCATTTACAAAGTTATAGAATAGAAAAATGTACACAAATTCTCGCTTCGCTTTTGCTTGCTTCTATATAGAACACCAAGAACACTATGTAATTACATGTAGGTAAATGTAGGTATATCGAATTATTAAATGTATAACTGAGGAATATAAATGTACGTGTATTTGTGTGTGTTTTTGTTTGTTTTTTTCTTTTGTTAAAAACGTGGCAAACTAATGGCGCTTTAAGTCTTTGATTGCTGGCAAGAATATTTGAGTTTTGAGAGAACACCAACCACTAAACAACATATATATAGTATAAATCTGTATCTGTATCTGTACGTATTTGTATAAATTATTAAATTGGTCTTTGACCTTAGACATTAGAGAAAACATAAAGACGGGAAAGGAAGAGTTGTAAAAAACGGAATGCGCTCAGAGAAATTAATGGTATAAAAAAGAGGCTTAGAGTTCGTTAAGTAAATTGGTGCACGGAATGTGTGGGGCGGCCAGCTCTGCCACAACGTTGGTAGAAGGGTTCGGGTTCGGGTTCGGATTCGGGTGCGGGTCGCAGGGTTGTTGGAGGTAGCTACTACTTGGACAAGCAACTATTTATTGTCTGTATATTTTCATTTGGTAAACATTTCACTTTACGCCTCTACGAGCGGCTGCTCTGTCTTTGTGGGTTCTCCCCCGGATTCTGGGGCCTAGCCATCGTCATCGTAGTCCTCGTCATCCTCCTCGTCATCCTCCTTCAGCGCCGGCACCGCTGTAATTGTTAGATCCCGTCCCGCGAATTCGAAGTTTATCTCGCAGAGGGCCGCCGCCACATCGCTGTCCATACCACCGCCATCGGCATCCGCATCTGCATCCGCATCATTGTCATCCAGATCGCCGTCCTCCTCCTCGTTGCTCAGATCATCCTCGTTGCGTATCACATACAGGCTCTCCTCGGCGTCGAGCGACTTCTCGTAGAGCATGCAGTGCTTGCGCTTCGCGTGCCGCAGCACATGATCCTTGCGCCGTGACCGATACTCGCAGGACACGCACTTGTATTTCTTCTGCTTCAGGCAGTACTTCCGCACGTGCTCCTGCAGCTTCTGGTGGGACTTGTAGTAGCGATTGCAGTGCTTGCACTGCATAAACGTATCCCGCGACAGACCCGCGCCACTGGGATTCGCACCGCGTACCGCAGCATGGTTGGAGGACGCGGTGGTGTTCACTTGGGTTATGGTTGTGCTGTTATTGTTGTTATTGTTGAGAAGATACGAATAGAACTCGTCGCCGGCATTGGCACTAGTGCCGGGATTGCCGCTCGTCGAGGAGGTGTCCACGCCCAGGAGGCTGCCCAGGATGGGGTAGATGTCTGCTGGTGGTCAACATATACACGGGTACACGCACACAGCATTGAGGTGACGGTGACGGTGACGGTATCGGTATCGGTGTCGGTGTCGGAACAAAATAAAAGGAGAACAAAACCAAAGGCAAAATTAATAGTGGATCGATAACGGAGAGCACATTTAAAATTAAATTAAGTTAAATCAAAAATAATATAAAGAACTTAGTGTTTTTCTTCTACCCAATAGACGCTGAATGGTGAATGTCGCGCTGGATTGGTGATTGGTGAATCTTGTTGTTGTTGTTGTTGTTGACTTTTTGTGGGTTCTGGAGTTAGCAGTTCGGAACGATGATATTTGGTTTTATGAACGATGATGATGGTGGTGGTGGTGGTTGGATGCGGTGATGAAAATGACGTATGGATGACACAATATCCCCAGGAGAGTTACACATGTACGCACCACATATACAAAAAGCCACTCAAGCATTTATCTAAACAAAAGCTTCGGAATATATACAGGAAGAACGGAAAATAGATAACAGGTAACGAATGTCAGTGTTGGTGTGTGTTGGAATAACTCGTTGGTGTGATTTTCAAAACTACAACAATACAGCAAATTAAATTACATATGTTTATCATATATGTATATATATTTTTTTTAAGTACAATATCATTGATTATCAAGATGCGAGGGCCTCCGCCAAGATGTCCTTCGTCTTTCAGGCTTAAATCCTTCGGAGCCGAGTTTAAATCCGTATCACGTCCATCTAGAATAAGAGAGAAAATGATGTTAGTTCAAGGTTTTTAAGGCTAATTCCACGAGGGCCAGCTGCTTTTTAAGCTGCAAAGGAGAAAGTTTTCAAAATGCATTTAAAAGTTTGGTTTTGTTCATATCTTTTTTTCAATATATATTTAAATTTAGTTTTTATTTGTTGGTTTTCTGGTTTCTGCCTGTGTTTTTACTTATAACAATTAAATCGTTTTACTCGTTTAACATTTAAAATATATAGTTTTACAAATTTTGTTTAAGGCGTTTTCTCGGCTTTATATATTACACAATCATCATTAAATGTACTCTGAATTCGTTCTAACATTTCGTTTTTGTTTCATTGAAATTGGTTTTTAAGTTTTTAAGCACACTTTTCTCATAGTCTAACTGGCATTTTGAATGTCGTCGTTTGTTTCGTTTTGTTATATTTATATTTTCCTTTTCATAAATATATATTTATTTAGATTGATTTCTATTTTAAATTTGTTATTTTCTAAATTGCAGTGCAAAAAGCAATGTGATTCCTCTTTCTTTTTGTATATAAACCTTTAGTTCTTTTGTAAAATTATCGTTTAGCTATGGTACAAAGGTGTTCCAACTCGAATCGAATTTGTATTTTGTCTGCATTTTGTGGACATTTTCTTCTTTAGATTTCCTCGGCGCTTTGCGTTCCATCGTCAACAATTATTTACTATTCGTGAAGCGTGCGTTTTAACAGCAATTAACAATCATTTCTCACTTCCTCATTCTCGTGCTCCTTTGTTTTGTTAACTTAAAGCTACTTGATTTACTTGACATTATTGTGTGTGCTATGTTTTTAATTCCCCATTTTCGTATTATTAGTTTGCTATCCAGAAATAATATTAGAATAAAATGAAAAGAATTACTAAAAACAAACAAAAAGTGTTGCAAACAAAATATCAGAGTTTCCTAAAGCATATTCTTGTATCTATCATGTATGTGTTTATGTTTATGTTTATGTTTTTGTGTGTCGTGTGTTTGAAAAGAAAGCCTTTCTCTTGACCAAAACCCAACCTATTGCCAACCTTGCCCTCGCTCTGGGATCTGGGATCTAGGATCCCCACCCCTCCTCGTTTCATTTCATTTCAATCACAATTAATCACATCGATTCCTTTATATGTATGTTTGTTTTGTTTTCGTATCTAATATATATTTAGATATATATTTTGCTTTACATATAATTTAACATTCACAGCTCCTTGTTTACAACTTTTTTTTAGCGTGTATTTTGTGTTTGTGTGTTTTGGGGTGTGTAATCTTTGATATTGTTGTTATGTAACAGAATTAATTAATAAGGATACACATATTAGTAGAATAGAGTTGTTATCTGGGGTGTTAGTACAATTTCTCGAAAAATATTTCACTTTTTTATGGGTTATACACACACCCTTCCTCCGTCTGCCTTTCTGTATCTTGGGTGTGTTCTAAAGGGTTTATTTGTGTTAGTAGATAGATTGTTTGTTTGTTTGTTTGTTAATCAAATTATATTGAAATTTATCACATGCCTTTCTCTTTACATTTTAACTATAACTCGACTCGAAAGCTCTGCCAACATTTCGGACTCTGTCTTGGATTTTCCAAGTTTTCCTTCTCCCCTTTGTATATTTGGTTCACATTTCGAGTCCATCACATGCGCTGTTGATAAATTATAAAATAGGCTTGGTAATAGATGAATCCATCGCGTTCCTCTCGTTGTAACCACAAAATTAAATGTTTTTGCTTAGAAAAGTAATTAAAATTATTTTGCTTTTTTTATAGATATAAATAAGAACCACAACCTTAGAAAAAAATTAGATTATTGATTACATGTGAAAAACGAACGTTTACAAATGGTGAATTGGATATATTCTAACCGAAATGATAGGCAAAAACAACTCTCTAGAAACTGACTAGCGCAAGAAAGCGATTATTTTTAAAATATATAATGCATAATGTTAATTATTAAAGTATGAATCCAAAGCAGATATATAACCAATCGAATTTGCTTCACCAAAGTTTACAACGAATTAAAATTTTAGCATTTCCTTCCTCACCTAATTCGCGAATACTGACCGATAAGAATTTTGTTTTTTGTGTCTAACACTTTTCCATATTTAATATTCGTAAAAAGCTTTTTTTTTAGTTTTTTTTTTTTTTTTGTTTTGTGTCGATTTGTGCCATTGTTGTTGTCTGTAATTTAATTTACTTTTTTTATCACATTTTTTGTGTGTGTGGCACAAAACTTTAAAAACTGACAACAAATTAATGGTATGCGCGCGCCCCTAAGTGTGTTTTAGTTAAGTTTTTGTTATACATTTAAGCTCTTTCTTTTGTTTTTGTATATCAACGATTATCATTGTGTTGTGTAGTGTAGTGTGTGTGTGTAAATAATATTATATTGTAATAACAAAGACTCCTCCTCATCCTCAGGGTTTGCTTCCAAATGGTTCTCTTCCCTTGGTTCTTCCTCAATTTTGACAAAAGTAAATTATTAAATAAGAAAACATATACAATTACGATTACAATTAATTACAATGACGACTATATTCTTTATATCACATACCAATTTATATTTCCTTTCTGACTGTGACTCGATGCGAGTTCCCCCAAAACCCGTTGCTACGTTTACATTGCCAATTCCTACCTCGCCTTGCTCACACATCCTGCCTGCTCTTTTGTTTTCCCTACGAAATAATTAATAACTGTTTTAGTTGCAGTTTTTAGTTTTTAGTTCTTAGTTTTTGTTTCAGTTTCAGTTTGTCTTCCTTAAAACCTTTTGTTTGCTATGTGTGGAGGCGCCGCCCTGAACCCAAAGCCACGATAATTTTGATTTCGTTTTTGGTCAAATTAAAATTCCCGCTATCACATATCGTGGTTCATTGTAATTAAAACATAATTTTAAAAAACGTACATGGAATGAGCACAAGATAAATTAATAAATTGTTGGTTTTGTTTTGTTTCTTTTTGTTTTTAGAAAAAGAGTAGATAGAGATCGTTTTTAACTACTAACTATAATTTGTTATATAATATTATATATATTATGCGTAATGTGGCTTTTGGGGGGTGCGTGTGCCTAAGCAAACTTTCAACATTTCTATTTCCTCTTGACTTTGTTAGCAAAACTATAAAAAAAAAACGAAAAAAAAAAAATGTGAAAAAGGTAAAGAACGACGACTGTGTGTGTGTTGTTTTGGTGCCTTTCCGGGGGTCTCTTCAATGACTTAAGCTCTACGTCCTCCATTTCGGTGTCTGTGGCATCCTTGCCCAGATTCGCTCGTGAATGAGGGAGGCAAAGGACAACGGCGCGCGAGAGTGTGGCCTGCACTAGAAATTACACTATACTTAATGTGAATGTTTTGGGTTTTTTTTGCTGCTGCTGCTTGCTACAATAAAATGCATAAATTTCCCCTATTTTTCCCGCATTTTTGTTTTGTTTTTTGCTTTTATCAAGAAAAAGTTCATTGAGATCATTGAGTTTTCCTAAGAATTTTACACATCATCATCTTCATGCAACATGCGGCGGCGCCGGACCTCTCGCGCGCCCCTCACCCCTTCCCCTAATTATTCTTTTCCTATCTGCCAATTCAAAAACAAAAAACAAGCTACAAAAATAATTCAACTGTTTGTTATCAGGGAAGAATGCAATACAAAAAAAAAATAATATTAATAATGATCTAAGAATTAGAATTGGTTAAGAACTCCCTTCTGTTTTTTATATACATAGTTACGAGTTAGTGTGTAGTTGGTATATATATAATAGATATATATGTAAAAACGACTATATGTTTCAAGATCATTTGGAAAATTACATAAAAAAAAAACAACGCTCTGGACTGGACTGGACTGAACTGAACTGAACTGTGTCTGTGATTGGGGCTTTGGAGACGAAGCCCCTCCCGAAGCCCGCCCTATTTAGATCCCCCGTTTACGATACCAATCCATACGATCCCGGGCAGCAGGCCACTACAGTTGCTTGAGAGCCTGGCGTCATCGGATGATGCCATTGCAGCAGCACGTGTTGTCGTATCATCGATGTTGATGGGTGCGCATGTGCAGCACGAGATTGTGTTTGTGCTTCGACTTCTTGTGACAAATGGGGCACTCGAACTTTGGCTCAACGCCGCACTCGAAGCGCACATGACGATTGAGGCTGTGCGGCCGGGCGTACGTATTGCCGCATCTATCGCAGGCGTAGGCTCCTCCTCCGCCGCCGCCACCGCCACTGCTTCCTCCAGAGCCTCCGGCGCTGCCTGTCCAGTTTCCAGCCGATGATCCTCCTCCAGCTGCCGCTGCTGCTGCCGCCGCCGCCGCTGCAGCTGCCGCTGCTGCCGAGGTGGAAGCTCCTCCGCCGGCGGACGTGGCACTTGTATTGTTGGCCGCCAGTCCGGCAGCTGCTGCCACGGCCACAATCACAGCCGCTGCACTGCTCGACGGATCCTGGCCAGACGCACCGCCGCCGGTCACTAGTCCACCGCTGCTACTGCTATACCGACGCGTCGGCGTGTCCGGCCTCTGCACTTGGCTCGGCCCAGCCGGATAAAGCAGCTGCGGCAGGGCACGGACATGCGGATGGGGGCCGTGATGATGCTGGTGGTGCTGGTGATGGGCGCCTAGGGGCAAGGGGTTGCCCTGGGCGGCGGCAAGCAGAACTTTGGCCAGACCAGTGCGCAGGTCACAGGGCTCCATGCTGTCCTCGTCGTTGCTATCGTTATCATCGTCATTGTCGCCATTGCCGTGCCGCGGCTGGGTCTTTGGCAACAGCAAGTGGCCCGGGCAGTGGGTGGGCGTGGCCCGGTTGCTCTCGAGCTCGTTGTGGTCGGACTCGAGGCCGCTGCCCGGCTCAAACTTGATCACGGGCCTGTCGTCGATGGGACTGTGGTAGGAGGGACTCGTCTTGATGCCCATTAGGCTGTAGCCGCCGGGATGGGGGCCGGGTGACAGGTGGCCAAAGTCTGGCAAGATTGGATGAGAATATGAAAGTAAAGGAGGTAGATTTTAGTGTTCGCTGCATAGAAAGTCGCTTCGATTTGTTCATAGATTTTTTGTCATCTGATCAGGAAATCATAAAAAACCTATTTTACTAACTGGAAGTAAATAAAAGATATTGTAGCTATCACATGGCGACCGTGACGCACTAAGAGAATATATATTTGACATCTTTACCGTATGTGTTTCGAGTTCTTTTGTGTTTGTTTACTTGTTTTTTGTGGTTTTTGTTTTTTTTCTTTTCGGTTTTTGAGTTAAATATGTTGTTGCTTTAGTGAGAGATACATGGTGCTATGGAGTGGAGTGAGATCTGGAGAGGTGTGTGTGGTGTGTGGTGTGTTTTGTGTGTGTAAGTAGGCTGCAAAAGTAAATTTCTTGATTAAATATATTAAATTAAAAACACGATGAGAGTACATCATAAATGTCGAGTAAAACATTTCGAGAGCTAAGCAAAAATAAACATCAACTTTGGTTCTCAGTTACAGGTGATAAATGTCCTTAAAAATAAACGTGTTTTGGGTAAATATATATAAATAGAATGTGTGTAGGGTGTGTGTAGTGAGTGTTGTTGGTTAGTGACATAAAAAACACTTGATAATACTACAAGGGGAGAGGGAGTCGGCGAAGAGGAAGGAAAGGCTGAGTTCTCCTTCCGATTCCCAGGGCCCAAAGAGTTTTGACTTTTTTTTATATATTTTTTGTTTTATGAATACGCATGCAATATTAAAATGTAAACAGGGAAATCATTTTACACAATTGTCACAAAATAAAGAATAATTGTTTTTTTATATAACTCTCTATACAAACTAAGTTTTCTCTGTTTTTGTTTTCATTTTCAAGTTTTAATTTGTAACGTAAGGCTATCGCTATGGAGAAAAGATAGAAGAGATCGATAGGATCGAACTTAGGCTAAACAAAACAAAAAAAAATATATAGAACGAAAGAAGAAACTACAAGTCTAATAGGTTTCATACATAGTTTTGTAAATCATATTGTTACTTCATCTAACAAATATACATATAAATATATAAAGTCTAGGAGGATACAATACATGGTTATGCATAACTATATATTATATAAATAGTATTTATATAGGTAGGTTGTAGTAGTTTTAAGCATGCAAACAACAATAAGAGAGGGGAGGAGGAGGCAACACCATGAGCTGCGTTGTTTTTTGCCTGTCGTTCATCAGTCAAGACCAACATCATCATCATCATCATCATCTTCACATCATCACATCCATTATCATCATCACCATCCACCTGAAATATAGATCTGATTAGTATAGATTCTAAGCAAGGCTTTGCCTACAACTGTACGTGGAGGAGGAGGAAAAGAGGAGGAGTAGGAAAAGGAGGCGGATGCGGATGGATGGATGGATTTCCTGTGTGAAATGTGGGGAATGATTGAATTTGCATTTAAATAAGTACAACTTGGTTTTTGTTATTTTCTTTTTGACATTTGCTTTTAATTGTATTTCGAATTTTCATTTTTTAGGGTTTTGTGTGTTTGGTTTCTCTGTTTTTTTTAGGTTTCCTTTCTCTTTCAATACATTTTAATAGCCGGCAAATAGTTACGATGTTCAGTTGGGGGAGAAATACATAGTTTAATCATAACCAATTAATCAATAATTGTCTTTTGTTTGTTGCAACTTTATAGAGGTATTTGTTATAATTTCGCGTTTACATTACATTTCTCTGGTAGGCTACGGGGGGTTCAAGTGCCGGTTTAAGTTTTAGTGATTTTCTCATTAAATCTAAACGTTTTTGTCTTTTTTTAAAGCATAGATGCGCCGATGAAATTGTTCATATTATCAATTATAATTATAATTTTTGTCTAAAATTGAAAATATTATCTCATTATCGTTTCGTTTTGACTAGATAATCGGTTTATAGTTAATTATTATTATTGTAAGCATAACTTAGTGACCAGAAATCAAGTCTTTGTAAAATGTTTCTAACAAATTAAAAAAACATAATGCGAAACGAATGTGTAATGTTTATCATTTATAATTTAATATTAATTATATCTTTGGAGGGGGCATTTGCTTTATGATCATGCCATGCATATTATAAGGGTTTTCTCCACCTTTTAAATAATCTCGTTACAAAAGATTCCCTTTCTCTCGTTTTTTTTTGTGGATTTTTTTTTTTTTTTTTTTAGTTTGTTTTTAGCACACCTAAAACCAATTTTAGCTGTGTGACTAGTTTCATATAATTGTCTTTTCTGGGAAAAAATTTACACATATTTATATATATATATAGATGAAGATTAAGTTAAATTTTGTTGTCTTTTTTGAGAATTTGCTAAAGCAATACAATCGTTATTGTAATTGCAGTTTTTGTCTTTTCAGTTAATTTTATGTTTTCGCCAACTATTTCTAGTCGTCTTTGCTCGGTTTGTGGCATCTCCTAAGGGCTTTCCATGTCCGAACTCGAGGGGAAGTGCCTACTAAGATGGGTTTGTACAAGTCCTAGTCTCTCCCCCCTAAACACCTTCGTTCTGGAACACCAGGGTGTAGGTGCTGCTGGAGCTGCTGCTGCTGTTATTGTTATTGCTGCTGCTGACGGGGACAACACCGGCACTGCCGCCCATCGACACCATGGAGTTACCACCACCCGATATCGACTTGGGCTTCTCCTCCTCGGCATCCTTCTCGCGATCCCGACACTTGGTGTTCAGGTGACGCTTCAGATTGCTGTGGACATTGGTGGCATAGCCGCACATCTTGCTGCAGAAGTAGCGCGGCGGCAGGCCGCACTCGTTCTTCAGGTGACACTTGAGGCTGTTCTTCCACTTGTAGGTGCGGTTGCAGTTGCGGCACACCCACGGCTTCTCAATGTCCGCGTTGTAGATCATGTCGGCGGAGTGCTCCAGCGACTCCTTGCGTGTGCGCTTGTTCTGGACGAGAATGCGGTAGCGATTGTCGTCCGAGTGGGACCAGTGCAGGGAGTCCATGTTCAGGCCGCTCAGCTTGCTGCTCAGCAGCGTTGAGTTAGCCGAGCCGCTGCCGCTGCCGCCACTGGTCCCGGCCATTGAGCCTCCCATCTGCTTGGGTGCCGAAATCGTGGTGATGGTTGCTGGAATGGCGGGTAGTTTGATCTGCAGCGACTGGCTGGTGGGCTGGAGATTCAAGTGCTGCAGGTGTTGCTGCTGCTCGAGCAGCTGCTGCTGCTGCTGCGGACTCAGCACGATCTTCTTAACGGAAGCTCCGCCGCCGCCGCCCGCGACCATTGAGCCCGCCGCCTTTTGCTTGTCGTTCGATTGCTTGGCATGCTTCTGAGTGGCGGCCGCTGTGGTCAGCAGATCGTCGTCGTCATCGTCGTTGTCCATTAGGTAGCTGTCCTCGAACTCTTCGTTCTCGATCTTCACCGCATCGTAGATCCATGACAGCGGACTGGCCAGCTTCGGGTCGTAGTCGAAGGTGTTCTCATCGTCGATGGCCTCATTATTGCACACGGCCTCGCTGTCGTCCCCATTGAGCGACATGTTGTCCGGATTCTCGATCTTCACAATCACCTCGGTCATGGTGTCGTCAATGCTGTCCAACTCAACGCCGGCAGCCGCCAGAGCAGCGGCCGAGGCGGCGGCATCCACATTGCAGTTGCTCGACAAGCTCTTGTTCCCATTGTTCGCCGGCGTGATGCAGGCAATGGTTGTGCGTCCGATGCTGCCGATGCGGGTCACCGTCTGGGTCAGGGTCGACGGATGGGTCTGGGTCAGGCTGCTCTTGTTGCTTCCGTTGCCGGTCTTGCTACTGGAGCCATTGTTGTTGTTGATGTGGCTGCTGGCTATGGCCGCGGCCGCCTGCTTGGCAGCAATGGTGGCCGCCGCCACCGCTGCTGCAGCTGGATTCGGAGTCGCTGTCGCAGTCGTGGTAGTTGTAGTCTTGTTTGGAGCCGCCGATGTCTTGTTAGTGGTTTTAGCATCGCTTATGAGTGACTTTTTGGACTGAGTTAGTTTTTCTGATGGTTAGTTTTCGTGTTTTTGTTTGTTAGTCATGAAAAAGAGATTCGGAATGTAAAGTTAGTTTGATTTTGGAATTGTTATTAATTGTGGTTAAAAATCGATACAAAATAAATTAAAAAAAAGGTAAAAAACAATGCATGATGTCTCGAGTGCGGCAAAAAAACAATATGTAAAGAAGACTGTAAAAAGAAAGCAAAATTAATGGAAATTCAAATATAAAAATATATAAAAATAATTATATATAATAATCATAATAAGAAATTAATGAAATCATAAAATATAGATAAAAAGGCAGCCAAATAAATACCTGCTGTGGGCTCGTCACCGGCGCCACCCTTCTCGATGATGGACTGATCGGCCAGCATTAGCCAGTTGCGCACTCGAATCCTGGACTCGCCGCCCTCCAACTGGGCATTATCATCTGTAAATGTCGAATATTAAGTTGGGCTTTGATTAGTCAAGGTAACAAGATAGTATAATATATTTTGTTCGATGTGTACCTAGGCTATGATGAAGACCTAACCATTGTTGTTTTTATTCAATTTGATTTGTTCATTAAGAAAAAAAAATATAAATATGGCCAAATAAATGTTTTAGAAATAATAATAAATGTAAAAGGAAATAAAAATCAATACTTACAAGCAGTGTAAACAAAAGGCTACTAAAATCTGTGTGTGTAAAAAAGAGACGTAGTATCAACATAAAACATTTATGAAATAGATATGACTATCTTACTATTATAGTAGTAAACAACTCTTGTTTCTTTTGCGTTTTATTACATGGAATTTGTATATTTTTCACATTGAATTTGTGGGTTTTTTTTATCAATTTACAAAAAGAGTTTTACAAAAATTAAATATATATATTATATATATAGATAGAATAAGGGTAAGCTAATTCTGTTTGTTTAATGAGTATTTGTTGTCTTATTAAGTGTGTGTTTTTTATTTATTTAAAATTATTCTCTATTTATATATTTTTTGTGTGCTTGTTTTCG